TTTTGAATATATTATAATTATTTATAAGTTAATTAAAAATTTTCATAGAATTAAACAGTACGATCCACAAAAAAGTAAACAATTCTAACCTATATCCAAAACCACAAAACCGAACGGATAGTTCGTGTGATTTAATCGTAACAACGGTTTTGTTCTTATTTTTTTAATTATTATTATTATTTTTTGAGTCTCGAAAACACGCTTACCTATATTTTCAATTGGAGTATGAACAATCGGATGAATTGGAAAGGCAAAAGAGTTCCCTACTTTTTATCAATATTTTCCAGAATCAAATTTCGGGGACAATGACCGACGAACAAAACCCTACACCGAGAATTGATGGGAATTTTATCTTCTTCTTCTTTTTTTCCTTTTTTTTTTTTTTTTGAGGAATTTTATCTTCTTTGAATAAAAGAAAAGGGGAGGATAGGGAAAGTGATGATCCATGATGCCTTTTGATGTGTTATATATATATATATTATATTTTAAAGAGGGTGCAAGTGTAACCCTAGCTAGCAGACGCAGAGACGGAATCCGTAGGGGGCAAGCTAGTGTGTAGTCATGTAAAAAACACACACACCCAGCAGCCACTACCTGTTTCTTTTTAATCTGCTAGCTGTGTGTGGGTGCCAGAAGGGTGTGTGTCCATCTCTCAATGCACACTCCTGTTAGGTCGCCTGCAAAGTGCAAGCAAATCAAGTATTCCCTTTTTATTTATTGAGATTTACTCTCTCTTTTTTTATCTTTTTTATTGTGGAATGTACAGTGTTTCTATGTATATAGATCAATAAATTCGGTGCACGCACGATGCGGCCAATCCTAGAATTAGAAGTGGTAAGCTGAGATACGATTGATTAATTATAATGAAGCAAGTGTGTGGAAGGTCCCAAATCGAATTACGTACAGTGAGGAATAGTGACTGAATTAATTTTAAGTGTAGGCTAATATATCCTCTCTCAACAGAAGTCAACCTTGATAAACTATCACAAGTGTACAACTTGTATGTCCATAAATTTCCTTATAAATAAATTTTATAAATTATATTTATTTAAATTTTTAATTTTTTATTTTTAATAATTAAAATTTAATTATTTTTATGTATTAAAAATAATTAATTTTTATTTAAAGTATCATTATAAAATATAATTATTAAATGATTAAAATTTTATATAAATGTAATATATAAAATTTATATGAAAATGCATTTCTTATATATATAAAAACTCTAAGTTTGAATATAAAATTTAATGAATAATTTTAGAGGGCATCTGTCATTCTATTATGCTACGATTATTTATGGAGGGAACAGAGGGTGTGCTAAAATAAAGAGTTTTGAGTTTTGTAACAAATTTTCAGATTCCTCCGAGGGAATAGTTCACAGGTGTTGGGCAAATCCTAAACTACGTACGTACATTGGAAATCATACCCCCAATAATCAGAAATGATGTAATCTTATTTCATAATGTTTTGACCATTTGGAGAATTGGATTCTAGTGTCCTCTGGGTTGTACGTAGGTCCTCTCTGACATGCATATAACAAGTCAGTTTAATATCACTGATTTTAATTCAGTGGTAATATGACTGGGCCATACAACATCCCATGGTAGGTAGAGTTTGAATGTATCTGAAAACTATATATATTTAGAAGAATTTTTTACCCCAGTGTAGATTTTCAAGCCAAGGGTTTTGGACCATTAATCATGTAGTCATGTGAAACTCACACCCAAATCAATAGTTCAAGAAATTCAGTCTGCATTGAACCTACACATATTTTCCTTATAATGCAATTCCATTAATTTTTCCCCAAATTCGTACTTATTTGCATTCAAATTTAAAACTTTTTACTTACAAATTAATAACTTTAACAGTTAAGAATGCTTCTAAATGACATATTTTATAGGAGTTCACCTTAGATAATATTTTTTGGTTTTCCCAAGTAAGACGGAGTCTTAGCTAATTTGAGAATAGGAAAATGTGTTATGCAATTTAAATTGTATTAAATTGTATGACCTTAACCTTTAGATGGGAGTGAATACCTTATATTAGAAGTTTCACCTTTATCTAATAAAACATGTTTTATAATTTAATGCAGTCTAACCATAAAACAAGGTACTCTTTGAGAGTATGTTAAGACTAATTTTTACCTAAATAATTTTAATGGTGCATCTTTTACATTTAAATGATACATAAAAGACCAACAATATGTTGATTTAAATGAAAGAAATTCAGTTTTTTAAAATAAAATCATGAATTTAAATAGAAAGATAAGTGCTAAAAACACTTGACACTTATGAGGTTCAACCTAACTTGATTTTAAGTTAATCAAAACTTAATATAACTTTTAAATGCTATGAGATTTAGTAATAATAATAATAATAATATATGAAAGAAAATCAATTTTCTTACGTGCAAGTAATTCAAAGACTTAAATCTTATATGTAACTTAACAATTACCTTATAAGTATTTGAAGTGCAAACTCTTCCAAAAGCAAAAACAATGAAAAAAAAATAGAAATATAAGTAACTTAATTGTTGATTGGATGTCCTATTTTACGATATAAATTATTTTAAATTATAAAATAAAAATTATTTAATAAAAGGAGATCTTAAATATCAAAACACTCTTTTTTATCAAGCTATTAATATTTTATCATTAAATTATAAAATATAATTTTTAAAAAATAATATATACTTTAAATTATATTAAATTACATAACATAAACTATTATATTTAATTTAATGTGCCTGTGATGTAGGCGAACAAAATTGTTGGGTAATCTTATTCTACGGGCTCCACACTTTTAACCCAATTCTGAAACATTTATTTGTGGAATCAATCAGACCCGTCCAAAATTTATTCTACTTTAGAAACCAAATGGGACCCTCGAAGTACATTCATCAAATCCCATTTTCCATGTGGGCCTAACGTGTTTGCCACTTCCATATCAGCGCGCGTGGCTCCAGGGCGTGTGATCTCCCCCTACCTTTCTCTGTTCTAGGAAGTGAAAGATGTTAGGTTTCTTCTATTTATTAATCCTTCTATGCTTTTCTCAATTTACCAAAACACCCTTTAACCCTCACTCACCCTTGTTGTGGTAATGATCACATAAGCCAACCCCTCCCTATATTTACCTACTCCCATTTGGAATGGTATATCCTAAAATAAAAAATG